ATATCCAAGCCACATCTCACTTTCAGTTTACTCTGTTATTCACGTCTATTGGTACCAACCACAGTTTTCTGCTAATTTTAGCGGTTCCAATGTTATAACCATATCTATTTCCAAGTTGAGTTTGTTTCAGACCCGGCCAGTGAGAGGAGCCACTCCTCTTGTGCTTTTCTTTGCCCCAATTCTGGAAGCACCGTTTTTTCTAAGCATCTCCGCTTTCTGCTTGAGAAGAACAACTAACAAGAGGCCAGCATTGGTGTGCTAGATATTCCTCTGAAGTGTCACCAATCCCTGCCCTGGCAGTGGGCCAAGCTAGGGAATCTACACACACACACACACACACACACACACACACCTCCCTAACTGCTCATCAAAAAACAAGGGTCCATACAGACTCGAAGCTGCAGGGCTTGGCCCCCATTCTTCGGGCATTTTCAAGCTTGTTGTCAGTTATAAACAGTTGTGGATTTGCTCATTGGATTCTGCTTCTGGGGATAACTAGTGTTTCACCTCTACCAGCATCTGCTTTTCTTCCCCCATTTTTTTTTTTTTTTTTTTTTTTTGGTTTTTCGAGACAGGATTTCTCTGTATTGCTTTGGCGGCTGTCCTGGAACTTGCTCTGTAGACCAGGCTGGCCTTGAACTCACAGAGATTGGCCTGCCTCTGCCTCCTGAGTGCTGGGATTAAAGGCGTGCGCCACCAACGCCTGACTCACAGGCGTCTTCTTACATGGACATATTCCTTACCCTGCCTGTGCCTTCTCATCACACAGAACTCTACTGTAGTCCTCTAGACTCCGAGGCCCAGGCACGCTGCACCCGTTCCTCAACTAGAGTAGATTCTGACACTGGTGGTGGGCAGCCCTCCTGTGTTGACACTCTCTGACACCCTGCCCTGGGCCACTGTGCAGTTCAGCTGCAGGGATGCTTACCTAGCTCAGTCTACTCCTTGTTCTAGCCCTGAACTGTGCTGGAAGGTAAGGAGAGAACAAGGAGGGGAGGGGAAGCGCCCCAATAGGAATCGTAGTGAGTTCTTACATTATCTCCTGCCCATGACCGACCCTAGGTCATTCCGTACTGGTTACACAGGGCGATCACTTGTTTCATTGAACAACAACAACAACAAAATCACTTGGCTATAAGGAGCTGTTTATTTATTTTTATTTTTATTTTTTTAAGATTTATTTATTTATTATGTATACAGTCTTCTGCCTACATGCCAGCAGAGGGCACCAGATCTCATTCAAGGTGGTTGTGAGCCACCATGTGGTTGCCGGGAATTGAACTCAGGACCTCTGAAAGAGCAGTCAGTGCTCTTAACTGCTGAGTCATCTCTCCAGCCCCTAAGGAGCTGTTTATTAATCACCACTGGGGACAAATACAATTTGTTCCCTAGAACTCTTCAGGTATAATATATTGATCAAACTATCAAATTTTGCAACATCCTCTTTTCATTCCCCACCAGTTTTTGATGTTCCTGTTTTTGGACACAACTGAACAGATAAAAGAAGCTAGTTACATAACTGATTGGTTTGAAAATGTATTGGGGGCTTAATATATTAGTCCATGATGTGTGCAAATGCCATGTTGATTACCTCAACCACTGATCAAGAGACAAAGTGCTGCCCCGGGCACCATACTGTTTTCTATTTTCAAACATGAAAATCCTGTTTATTATTAACATCTGTGTATAGTTCCTCTCTCTCTCTCTCTCTCTCTCTCTCTCTCTCTCTCACACACACACACACACACACACACACACACACTATAGACAGACATATTTGGGTATCCTTAGATTGTAACTACAACAACAAAACAGAATACAGACTCTACCAGAACTCATAAAATCCTTTGGGTTAGGGGTATCTCTCTGCCACCTTTTTCCTGTGCTTGGGGGTGGGAGGCTCACTCTCACCTGTGGAAACTTCCTTTTGATCTCGTGCACATCTCGTCCAGCCAGCCCAGCAGCTGACAGATCACCCTTTGCCGCCTCTGCCTGCATAATGAAATACATTTGTAGAGACCTAGTAAACATTTCATGCCTGTATCCCGGATCCTTCAAACCGGGCTGGGTTTAGGCTGTGCCTGTACCTTCTTGGCCTCCTGGTGTGCTAATAACAATGGTCTGTTATTTTCCACAGAGGGGTGAGATTGGTCAGAGGTCCGGTTAGTTGAAATTTAACATTTTATCCTATAAAATTGGGATTAAACATAGAGGCACAGAAGACCATTGTGTAGATTGCAGTAAATGTTAGCGCTAACTGGGTCTTATCCCCCTTGGGGCTAGACTCGGCGAGGGAGTCCTCTGCTGCCGGCTCCCAGAGCAGAAGTCACAGCAACTGTGGGCATTTCCATCTTAAAATTGCACATAAAAAAGACCGAGTATTCAGGAGTCACTGGGCCAGGTCGGACAAGGATGCTGAGATGCCTGTGCAGGAGACCGCGGGTTTCTGGGGCGCGGGCACACGCGCTCCTCGCGCCCGCCCGCCAGCCCCGCTGGGCTAGTTTCGCTTTCCTTTGGATCCAGAGGAAACCGAAAGCTTGGCTGTGAGGGGGGCGTGGCCGGGCGTGCAGAGGGCTTGGCCAGGGCGGGGTAGGAGGGTGGCTGTGCCTCAGGGACTTCAGATGTTCCTGAGCCTCCAGCGAGGCTAGCAGGCTGCTTGTTGCTGCTCCACTCCGCTGTGCCACGTCCGGAGCTCGCCGCCGATCCTGTCCTCTGTCTTCGAGTTGGAGGCTTGACGCGAGGTGCTAGAGGCAAGTTTGTGGCTAACTTTGGAAGTTTTCCTTCATCTACCAGAGCTTTGCTCAGAATTTACGTGGGCTCTGCGAGTAGAGGCAGAATGCATTTTTGGCATGCATCTCCTGGGGCAATTGGTTTGCTTCCCAAACAGATAAATTTATTTGGACTTTAGCCATGATTTGTGCTTAATTTGAAAAAAAAATTACAAAAGTGGATTGTTAAAAATCCAGACGCAGACAGATGTGTAGAGATGTTTCGCTTAGTTATTAACGCAGTATCATTTTCCTGTACACTTTATCAGAAACATTTCTATGCCTATCTTTACCATCGTTCTATAACTTGCTTCTTGTTCTTCTCGTTTCCATGCTAGCATTTTAACCGATGTGTCATATGAGAAGTTCGTATTTATTTAACTAACTCATGGACATTTAGGTTATGCCTTATTTTTACTGGTATAGGTGATTTTCATCAACAAATCTCATTTTTTTGTGTATGCCCTCGTGCAAATACACAAACACACTTGTGAAAAACTTCTAAAAATGGAGTCAGTGGACTGAGAACTGGAAAGATTTTTCTCCAATCTCATAAATCAGTGTTCTAACCCTGTTCCCTGGCTTGCTTTTCATCTTCGGTGAAGAAAGCTGGATATTTATCTTTAAATATAAAGGACCCCTGGAAGTCCAAGTTTACAGTGTTTCAAAATTACGACTTAATTTGATACCGAACATTGAGATAGTTTATACTTTGAAGTTAGTTCAGAAACTGAGGTAAACATTTCAGAGCCTCTCCTGTGAAGTGTCTTTTGGGAGCTTTGATACCCGTTACCTCCTGTGTTCAGAAGAGTAAGCTGAGCAGAAAGTGGTCCGGGGCGAGGTTTACTGCTCTCTCATGGTTCACCATGCACTGGCAGAGGACTTTTTAAAAAGGGGGGCTTTTTGCTTGTTTGTTTTCTCTTTTTTTTCACTCTGGAAAACTATGCTTCGTGGTCCTGGCACTTTTGCGCAATGTTAGGTTTATAAGGTTTACAATGGAGCGTATCATGTGATTGGACTGTGGCCAGAGCTCCGGTTGGCACTGGAGGGTGCATCAGCATTTCCCGGCTGAGGACATGTCTAAGGCTATGCTAAGGGGAACATCAATTCTTATCATCCCACACGGGCTGGAGGAGCCCCAAGATGCTCTGTTAGTTTGGGTTTCCTTTGGCGAGACCTCATCTTGTCCATCATATTCTCATTGTTCACAAAATGGGAGCAGGCCATTAAGACTGAGGTCAAAGGCCAGAGTAGTGGTTCCAGCCTTTAGTAAACACTGCGGATCTCAGCCCTGGGCAGGCTGAGTGAGGAGGGAGTACCAAGAGTTTGGATGCAATGGCTCAACTCATACCTGGAATCACAGCACTGGAGAGGCCCAGGAAGGATTTTGTTGAGAATTTGAGGCCCGCCCGGGCTACATAGTGAGACTATATCTAATGCATTTATGCAGAAAAGTTTGAGGTCAGTGGACTACATTACTAGACTTTGTCTCAAAAGTTTTGAAGATGAAGCTACTTTGATATTGCTGATAATACTGATTTTGTTCCTTTCCGGGCATTTTTAGCTGCCTCCCACTCCTTGTGAGTGAACTGCCAAGGAGGGACTCACCACCCAGAATTCCCATATCATGTCCCTGGCTCTCTAGCTCTTTCCCTCAAGACCCTTACGGATTCTGCGGCCACGTCAGTGGGTTGCCGGTGGTGGTTAGTTCTGTCATTGCCCCTCATTCGAAGGGGACACGCTTCAGGAAGGGTGGAGAGAGGTTTCTGCTTGGAGCCAGTGCATTTTGAATCAGGGGTTGAGCATGGGGATGCAGCTTCCTCTGTTCTGGCAGATGTATGTCACCCTGCCTCAGCTGCCCTCTTGCCACCTCCTCGTTTCCCCTGTTTCCATTTCCTTCCCCGTGATGCTCTGCTACCAGACTAACAGTCCTGACTGTCCTGACTGTCCCAGAACTCACTCTAGACCAGGCTAGCCTCAAATTCACAGAGACTCACCTACCTCTGCCTTCTGAGTGCTAGGATTAAAGGTCAGCTTGAACTTTTAAAGATTCCCCATATCAGTCAAACAAAGCTTTGTAGACTTGGCCTCCCTGTGAGCTCCGTCTCTGCCTCCCAAGCTTTGTTGTGCTTTGAGCAGCGAGAGGGCTTCCTTCCAGAGGTCCAAGCGAGACTGTGTCTGCTTCTGCCAGTCCATTAGCCTTAACTCCAGCTTACCATTAATGAACTGATTAGTAATAAAATAAGCCTCACATCCTTGTTCTGCTGCCAAAGCTGATTGTCCCAAGTAACACTTGACCCCCCTCAAGCTTCATGCCCTTGCCTCCCATCAAAACAATTGCCTAAACTTGATTTTCATTTTCTATTTAGAAATTTTTGTCACATGCATGTATTGATGCCCACATAATACAGTTCTCCATTGACTTCAAGTTTGAATCTATAGCAAGAAATTGTATAATGTTTCCTGAAGTTTTCTTGGTGGTGTGTGCGTGCGTGTCTGTCTGTCAGTCATTGTGGATGTATGCATGAAGGCCAGAGGTCACTCTCAATGTAGTTGCTCAGGAGTCATCTACCTTGTCTTTTGAGACAGGGTCTCTTATTCTGGAGACTACAGATGGGTACATCTGGCTTGTTTAAACTAGTCCTCATGCTCGTTGAGCAAGCACTTTAAAGACTGAGCCATCCCTGCAGTCCTAAGATTGCTATTTTGAGTAACAGCAAAACAAACAAACAAAATGACGACAACAAAAAACCCAAAACAGTGAAAGAAGAAGACTGACTGCAACAAATTGTTCCCTGACTTCCTTTTGTGTGCTGTGGCAATTCATGTCCACATGATACACAATAAGATAAATTAACACAGTAAGAAACTTTAATCTTAAAAAAAATCAAAACATGTTTAGGTCTAACAAGATGGCTCAGAAGGTAGAGGTGTTTGTCGCACAAGTGGGGGGCCTGGGTTCAATTCCCAGACAGAACCGACTCAGCTGAGGTGTCTTCTGAGTTCTGCATGTGTGCTGTGGCGCTCTCTCTCTCGCGCGCACACACACACACACACACACACACACACACACACACACACTCATATTTGAAAAGAAGAAATCTAGCCACGAGGTGGTGGCAAACACCTTTAGTCCCAGCACTCTGGAGGAAGAGGCAGGCAGATCTCTGAGTTTGAGGCCAGCCTGGTCTACACAGTGAGTTTCAGAGTAGCCAGGGCTGCACAGAGAAACCCTGTCACCAAAGTTTTTTTGTTTTGTTTTGTTTTGTTTTGAATCTTATTTACCCACACCTCCTCCAATGCTTGGCTCAATAAAAATTTAAATATATGTTGTTTTTAATTGACACATAGGAATTATACAGATTTTACTGGGTGTGGTGGCATTGCTGCCTGTCATTTTGAAACTCAGGAGGCTGAGGCAAGGGGATTGAGTTTGAGACCAGTCTTGGCTATGAGTAAGCATCTTGTCTCAAAAAGCAACCAAATGGGGGCTGGAGAAATGACTCAGTGGTTAAGAGACTGGCTGGTCTTCAGAGAGCCTGAGTTCAATTCCCAGCACCCACTTGGTTCCTGACAGGCATCTATAGTGGGATCTGATGCCCTCTTCTGGCCTGCAGGCATACATGCAGATAGAGTACTCAAACATAAAATAAATAAATAAATAAATCTTAAAAAACAAAACAAAGGCAAAGCCAAAACAACCAAACACCCCTCTTTCCCAGCTACACATTTATAATAGAAGCATCATGAATGGCTTTTCACTCCAGCACATTGGTGGTGTGCGATGATCAGATTCTGTCAGAATTGCTGACTCTTCCCAGATGGAAAGTGTAAAAGGATGTCTTATTATGGTCTTGATTTGGGTTTCCATGACTGTTAGCTTACCAGTTAGTAAATTTCTAGACTGTACTTCCTTCCGTTTTGAGTTTGAATTTCCTTATGCAAATCTTCTTAAAGTACTCTGCATAAACTTACCCACATCCCCTTTCTCCAAACACCAAACTTTTGCACACCGCCCATATTACCTTTCTTGCATCAAGATTCAGATTCTTGTTCTCTCAGTAGGGTCTCATTCTGTCGTCCAGGCTGGTCTCAAACTTGTTATTCCCTTTCCTGAGCCTCACCAGTGCTAGAATTACTGGTGTTTAGCAGCATATCTGGTTTAACAGCCTTAACACTCACACCCTTCTGCTCTTTTGTCTTTAATAACCACAGTTACAGACCGACTTCTTCCATGAAATATCCTCTTATACTCACAACCAGATTTAGGCCACTCCTTTAGCCATTGAGTTCTGACTGGCTCTCTCCATTGGCCAGACTATCAACTGGAACAAGACATGTAGCCACATGCATTGCAAATGTTACCCTTTGGTGCTGGAGAGGTGGCTTAGCCGTTGAGAGTGCACATTGCTCTTGCAGAGGATCCGAGTTTTGTTGCCAGTTTGGGCAGCTCACAGCAGCCTATAGCTCAAGGGGGAATCTGACACCCTCTTCTGGTCTTCAAGGGCAACTGCACTCATGAGCGTAAATCTACACAGACTGGAAAATAGATAAATAATTAAAGAAATCTTACCTTTTGGCTGCGAAAATAACTCATTAGGTAAAATGTTGGCTGTGTGAATGTGAGGCCAGGGCTTGGGATCCCTATACCTGTGTAGATGCCAGCTGGGCATGGTGGTCTCCCTGCAATTCTAATGCTTGAGAGGTGGGGGCAGGGAATCCATGGAGTAAG